CCCACTAACACTCAGTAATACCCCCACTAACACTCACTAACACCCCACTAACACACACTAACACCCCACTAACACTTCCTAATACCCCACTAACACACACTAACACCCCACCAACACTCACTAAAACCCCACTAACGCACTCTAACACCCCACCTACACTCACTAACACCCCTCTAACACACACTAACACCCCACTAACACTAACACATCACTAACGCAAACTTACACCCCACTAACACTCACTAACACACCACTAACACTCACTAACACCCCACTAACACTCCCTATTACCCTACTAACGCACACTAACACCCCATTAACACTCCCTAATACCCCACTAGCACACACTAACACCCCATTAACCCTGACTAACACCCCACTAACACTCACTAACACCCAACCAACACTCACTTACACCCCACTTACACTCACTAACACACACTAACACCCCATTAACCCTGGCTAACAATTTACAGGCTGAGACCAGAACACACCAGCAAACCTAATTAGCATCAACCGAATTACAAAACAACTTTAACTACAACCTCATTTCCAAAAAAGTTGGGATGCTGTGAAAAATGTAAATAAAAATAAAATGCAAGGAAAAAAAAGGCTGGTAAAGTTGTTTAATGCTTAAAAAAACATGGTGGTTAATTGGCAACAGGCCAGTAATATGATTGGGTATAAAAAGAACATCTCAGAGGCTGAGTCTTTCGGAAGTAAAGATGCGGAGGGGTTCACCACTCTGTGAAAGACTGTACAATCAAATAGTGCAACAATTCAAGAATAAAGTTTAACATAAAACAGAAAAGAACCTTTGCTTTTCATCATCTATGGTACATAATAACATTAAAAGATTCAGAGAATCTGGAGAAATCTCTGTATGCAAGGGACAAGGCCAAAAACCACTATTTGCTGGCCATGATCTTTGGGCCCGCAGATGGCACTGCAATAAAAATGGACATGATTCTATAGAGGAAATCACTGCATGGGTTCAGAAAAAACTTCTGAAAAATGAGACCCTGACGAAAACCCTTAGTCAGCACCGCCTGGCCGTAGAGATGGGCAGACACTGGAAGTCTTGGCTACCCAAAGATCACAGAGTGTGCCAGCATTGCCAACAGAATAAGCCTGAGACAGAGCTCTTTCTGACTGAATGCACCAAATTAACTCAGATTAAAACAGAATTCTTCACTAAAATCACCCCTATATTTCTTGTGCGTAAGAATCTTCCCAACACAGAAAAGCTGCCATATGTTCTAGGAGAACATGCACGCTGGCAGCACAGTATGTCCACACCTGCCACAGTCTGAGGGACAGTGAGTGATATTAAATACATATAATATTTATGTGTACATATATATATACACACACACACACACACAACACACATAGACAGAGAGAGAGAGAGATGAAGATAGAGTCTCAGAAAGGTTTCAGTTTCTCCTTTTGTCCAGACGGAAAATAAATTTGGCTCTGGTCAGGAGCATTTCTCCGCTTCTTTACAGACAGATTGGAGAGAGTGTCTTTGGAAAAAGTGATGGCGTCTTCGGCTGAGGTGACGAGTGGAAATCCAGAGGCAGAAGTATAGACAGCTCTTGGCCTGGCTGTTCTGGAGAGAACTTGACTTTCACTAAGCGTGGTGCCCAGTGCCCTGACAACGTCCCTCTGAAAGAGCAGCGTTTTCTGTCAGAAATGGATTAACTGAGAGAAAGAAAAGCTGACCGCCTGAGAGAGCCTCGTTTTGGCAGGGCCTCTTTTTGTGTTCTGTGTACTCTGTGACCTTCTTTACTACGAGAGTAAGCACACACACACACAAACACACACACATACTTGTTTTTATACCTTGTCAGGATGTGAGATCAAGCACATGTGTTATACATATATTACTGTCCAAATTTTAGGTGCCATTTAGGTAACAATATAAAGTAAAATGGTAATGTGTTAGTGTGTGTCACGCTGGTACGAGTGGATCAGAGTTTTTAATCAGAGTTCTTAAACACATCAGTGTCACCGATCAGTAGTGAGCTACTGTCTCTGACTTTACATCTACAAGGAGGACCAACAAAATAGGAGTGTTTGATAGAGTGGACAGTGAGTAAATACAGTGTTTAAAGACTCCAGTAGCTGTGTCTGATCTACTCATACCAGTGCAACACACACTAACATGTCATCACCACATCAGTACCTGGTCCGTAACGTTTAGGGAGGTGGCATGTCTCAAACTGATGTCCATATGATTGCCTGGACCCAGGGCTTCCAGCAGAACATTGCAGAGAGTAACACACTCCCTCCACCAGATTGACTTCTTCTCAGAGTTCATCCTGGTGCCATCACTTTCCCAGGTAAATGCTGCACACTGACCGACTGCCATTCTTCCATTTCTCCAAGGTCCAGTTCCGACATGCTTGTGCCCACTGTGCATGCTTTCGGTGGTGGATGGGGTTAGCACTCTGACTGGTCTACGGCTTTGCAGACCCACATGCAGCAGGGAGTGATATACTGTGTGTTGTGTCACATTCCTCCCTTTACACTATTATTAAGCATTTCTTTGACTTGTGCCACAGAAGTCCAGGGTGTTGGACGCCCTTCTGTCTGTTTGAATCAGACAGGATAGCCTCCGTTACCCTTCTGCATTAATAAGCCTTGGGGTATAAAACACCCTGTTACCGGTTCATGGTTTGTCCATCTACCTCTCTCGGTAGGTACTCGCCACTGCTAACCGGGAGCACCCCACAAACTTTGCCGTTTAAGAGATCTTCCAACTCGTCATCTAGCCATTACCATTATCTGTGTCATTATTATTAACCATAATCAATGTTATTTGCTTCATATGTGATCGTAATATTTTGGCTCATTGGTATCTATGAAATACTGCACAGAAGTGAAGTCTTAGCCTCCTAATAAACTGCACTGTAAGAAAAAGTAGTTTTAACTTAAAAAGGTAGTGTTCAGTGTGCCTTAAAACTTGAGATAATTGAATTTAATGCCCCTTTAACTTATTATTTAAAGTTCAAATACATTAATTTTTTTAAGACAGTCTGGACGCTAACTTTTTCAAGCTAAAACCCCCAAATTGTTCTGACAGTGGGTATTTTGGACTGTAAAAACACTATATACCATTAGAATAAACACAAACAAACATTAATGCTGTAAAAGCGAGCTAGTTAGCATTGTATGGATTTGTTAAATATCATCAGTAGCACTCCTGATTTAATTTCATGAAGTACTGATTGATCCCAACCAGACATTAGATGACCTGTATAATGTTCTAAGACAAACCCAACTAAGCAAGATTTTACTCTTTCAGCATTTGAACTAAAACAGCTTTTGTAAAAGAGCACTTTACAAACACAGTTTGTTGGTCCTGATAGTGTAGGTTATCTCTGGACCAATTTTGTTCTGAAACTGAAAATGTACAAACACGCACACGAACACACACACAGACACACACACACACACACACAGATATATTCTACTCCCACTCTCATCAAACTCCAAAAAAGGATGTGTGTGTGTGTGTGTGTGTGTGTGTGTGTGTGAAGTGGCTTTCCAGTAGATTATTTTTTGGCAGTGTTCCTCACCACACTAAAAGCAGAGGCAGCAGAAGGACTTGAAATGTAGATTTAACCGAGGAGAAATTCTATCCTTGGCAGATAAACCACAGATGAAATCACAGAGCAAACTATGAGGCCGACAGCTCCACACACTCTGCAGCTCAGCAGAGCCTGAAGATTTAGATGTAATTGTGTCATTGGAGAGTCATGGATTAAATAGCTGTGGGCTCTACTAATGTGACTCTGGGTACAAACTGTGCTCTTCCAGCTGTGTTTGGACCAACTGCCCTTACCAACTGCCTAATCTTAACCATTACAAGAAGCAGAACAGGAAAAGGCATTCCCAACAGTCACCATATTCCTTTTCATATCATGCTAGCTTCAGTGTAAAATGGTTTGTCTAAGAAATTGAATGTGTTAAGCAATTTCACTGACTGTATTCAACTCTAATACCTTGTATGAAACGATGCCACACATAATAAATAGATTAGCAATATTTTACATCAGTTCAAACATCAACTTTTCCCTGTTCCACTTTTTTACAGTAACGGCTAAAACAAATGCAAGCTGCAGCTACATCTGCTAAGTCAGACATGCTTTACAGAACATTGGTGAAAATACAATTCAACATGAGTTTCCAGTTAAAAAAATTTAGCCAATCAAATGTAGGTGAGTTGGAAACAACAAACTATGCTAACATTAGCTTCACTGTATAACAGAAAACCTGATCGATGCTAACAGTGCAACCTTTTAGGCTAAAATGAGTTTCATTTTAAATGTAGGTATTTGGGCAGGACTGTGCTTCATGCTCTATAGTTTCCCATTAGGCTGAATGGCATTTTTGCCAATGTTCTGGAAAGCTTGTCCAACCTAGCAACAAAAGACTAGCTACAAAAGGATTTTTAGTTACCATTATACAGTTTGCATAATGCTAATTGTTTGTAACATCAGCTTCTTTGGTTGAAATATTCCTGTAATGAATGTAAAGTGGTAGTAAATCATTACAGTCATACAAAAACCTTGTATCTCCATTTTTGCAGTTTTTCTATTTCTGAGTTACAGGCAGAATGATCACTTTGGTTATTCAAATCATTTTTTATTGAAAAACTTCAGAATCCAAAACACAACACAGAGGCAGTTCTTCATTCATTGACTGGTTTGTATTTAAACAATGCTTCACATACAGTATGTACATGTCTAATCTCTATAGGAATGATCTCAGGCACATTTACATTGAAAAATAGATTATTCTAAGCAGCATTTTGTGTTTGTTAAACATACGACAATTTTCTTTAAATATCTACAAGTGCTTCCTATTACAAAAATACATATAGTTCATTGCAGCACAAGGACATTTCAAGGATTATCGGTCTAAACATTTATTCCACTACCACTTTAAACCACTACTTGATTTTTTAAATTGTTCTTTTTTTGCAAGCACTATTGATGTACACACAATAAAGAACAGACGAAAAGGGTTTCTTAGGCTTCATTACAGGTTGATGTTTGATGACCAAAAAATGACTTCTTTTTTTTTTGGTAAAATCCATCAAAATTGGTTAGATGGAACTTTTCAAAGACTCGCATCTACTCAGCTAATCCCATCAACCATAACCATAAGTTTCTGAAAATTGGCTGAAATACTGTCTACAATGCTTGTTTTGCTAGGTAGTTTGTCTAATGTACAACAAAAAGAAAGCCATCATTTTTTGCCTTCAGTGGCTTTTAAAGCATCTGTGAATGTAAAGTAGCTGTAAGGCAAGTTCAGTGCTGTTTGAGTTTTTAGTTGAAGTTTTGCGTCTTTGGTGTAATATGAAAGTTCTAACAGTAGAATGGAGATTGTGTTTATAGCAATAACTTCACAAGATCTAATTACGGGATTGCATATCTTGACATGGTTATCTCAGATGGAAAACTAGAATAAAAGAGTAAGCTCACTCGGATTGTGCCTTGATTACTCACATATTTTTGGACACTTTGTTTTTTGTTTTTTTGTTTTTTTTCTAGCAATTTGACATTAGACAGGATTGCTGGCCTCGTTTTAAAGCTAGGACGCCTAAGAAGACACCAAGACAACCTTTGGAAAATGAATCAGATCTATGAAGAAAAAGACACAAATGAATTAAAGCTGCACTATGTAAGATGTGGGGATTTGGAGACCTCTCTGGTGGAAATGTGTAATTGCACACAACATGTAGAAGAACATTTGGTAATGTAGGTTATGCCGACTGTGTGCAGAACTTGTTGAAGGACGTGTCTTCTGAGAATGTGAGTGAATTATCTACTATTGTCATCATATCTTCATCAGTATAATGCTGATTTTGCATTTTAGACCTAAACAATTGAGACTGTGCGTGTGAAGTTAATATGTAAAGACGTGTGACGTGGTCCAAAAAAGTCCCGTGACATCCGACCTGACACCTCTGACACTTAAATAACTATTGCAGGCTTTACAGGGTGACTTGCAGCAGTGCACACAACAAATTTTAGCCTTTTTTCCTCCTGACTCCTACGTTTTTCAGTTTTCACAAAAAAAATTACATAGTGCAGCTTTAACAAGTGAATTTGAAGAGTACAGAAGCTCCATCATGACATACAGTACAATAAACAGAAATACTGAAAATATGTAGCTTAATGATAATACAATCCGAGCTTATGAGAACCCAAGGGTCATTCAATAACAGCATATGTAAATGAGCTGGAGCCAGTGAGTAGGACTTTACTAGGGCAGAAAAAGTGCGGCACACAGCCACCGTCACTGATGAAGAAAAACCTTCTTCATTATGTTTTAACGTGCAGTAGTTATGCTGGGCTGGTATAGATACTTCATGCTGTCCATTCAGAGCTGCAGTGCATAGCAGTGTTCTGTCAGTGTCATATCAACAACATTTATCACCATTTGAAAACACCGGTTGCCTTTTACTTTATGTGCAAATTTCATGATGAATGCACCAGTAGAAATGTTCTAAAATGAGTAAAACTGCTGTGCATTTACAGTTTAGAACATTTTCCTTCTCCTTCAAAGTTACTATTTCTGAGATATGAGGTTTTGTTACAACAGCAACCACCCGATTTTGCTAATTAGAAGGGATTCACAGTAATAGAGTACAAGCACTCCACTACAGTACGCAGCTTTTTTGAGCATCAGTACTTTATTAAGTACAGTTTTGGAGATTCCTAACATACTTACTCCACTATAACTAAGAGATATAAAATATTTATTATAGTTTTGACAAAAATCAACTTGTTGAATTCTGGATCATAGCCATTACATAACTTTACATATATTTACTTTTACATTTGGTTCTTAAAGTGGAATTTTAGAAATATATGTAAGGCCAAAAGTTCTTCAAAACTATCTTGAAGCAAAGGCTCAAGTCTCTTTCAATGTATTAAGACAAGATTTTGGCCTAAAATATATATTGGAAAAATACATGCAGGGCACTGTAAGGCAAAATAGTACCCAAAGAATTTCTTTTTAAGGTTTTTCAGTATGTCACCATTTTCAACAGTACATTATAACATCTCAGAAGACGTGGGTGTTCACTGGTCATTTTGGAGAGTAAAAAAAAAAGGCTATAGTTGTGTTATAGATATTATGACCCCTGCATCAATTCACAACCACTGTCCAATTTTCTGTATTCAGTATTTTCTGTTAATTGTGAAACTGTGTATACTAACTAAAGAGGATGTCTGAATTCCAGATGTTCACTTCTAACTGATTTAAAAGTTAATTCCTTCAAAAGTTCTTTTACTCTAGTGGAGGACTTGCATGATTTCTTCACTTCTGCTGACCAGGTTTCCTTCTTTGTTGCAAAGGTATTAGAACAAATCCCAGTAGACACTGTAGACACTGCTGCTCTTTATGGCTCAACTACAGTACGACAGCTTGGGGACGTAAATGAGAGCATGATATTGACAGACATAGCTTATTATAATAATAACAGAAGATGTCTGGGACTGATAAGACACCACTGTGTATTTCCTTACTAACTATGGACAAAATTCAAATATGAAGTAGGCCTATCTGTACAAAAAGGCTGGGATCAGTGACTCTCATCACTGAAACAGAATGTGTGGAAAAGGCACTATTATAGTTACTGATACAAGCAACTGACGTAACAATTGAAAGCACTTGAAGAGTAAAAGTATTTCCTTGGGCCCAAAACTGCGTATGTCAACAGTTCTGCTGCTAGACCACTAAAAGGAACGAGACATACATGGCAAACAAACATCCTACTAGCAAACTGGAACAGGAGTCAGCAAGAGTTACAGTTCTTGTGGTGACAAGAAATTTGAGGAATGAGAAAGTTCTAGAAGAAGAATGAATTTTTTAAAAATGTGAAAGAAAGGAGGTTAAAAGCAGAACAGTGTCGCTCCTGTACAGCACATCCATTCACTGTTCTGTATGTTGATGGGCTGAGAGTAGTGCAGGAGCCTCTATGCTTCTATCCAAAATCAATACGGGGACGATATTCAAGTACCATTGGGTAGCGCTGGTGAAAGAACATAAAACACATAATACAGTCCATTAGAAATAAATGCAACAGTCAATATAAAGTATTTCAAGGAATACTTCAGTGTTTTTCCACCTAATCTCTAATCTGCTGCAGCTGTAGCATTTGATCAACCACCACAAACAACAGTTTCGTTTTATTTCCTTGTACTTATTAAACAAAGAGAAAACACTATCTTTAAACACCTTCCAACTGACATCTATTATAACTGTGTTTTTATACAGTAACTGTTACATGAAATGTATGTAGATCATTCTACCAAACAAAACCTATTTTATATTTTAACATACCTGGACTTTAGACTAAAATCCTTTAGCTTTGAGTAACCCTATACCTTGATATAGTTTATATTTTGATGTTTATTTTATCTGCGATGGACTGGCGACCTGTCCAGGGTGTATCCTGACTTCCGCCCATTAACTGCAGGAATAGGCCCCAGCAAACCCCCTGGCGACCCAGAAGGATAAGTGGTTTAGAAAATGTGTTTGTGTGTTTATTTTAAAACAAATGATTGAACACTCCATTAGTCACCAACAAGACAATCGTAACACTACCATACACTATCCATACTGAACTCATGCATTGGCTGAGGAGAGATGGCCAAGACACTATAATATAATATAATGAATGTAACTGCTGCATCATTTAAGGTAGAATAGGAAAATCTGAACAGGAGGCTGGCAAAAAATAAAGACTTCAGCTTCATCAAGAATTAAAAAGGATGAGGTGGTTGCTCTGTTTCTGCCTGACAGGTAGATAACATTAACTTATTTTTGCTTTTTCACAGAACCAGTAGGTCAGTGTTGTTTTGTCCCATTTGTTCATGTTTGTGATAGCAACTGGTTAGCCTCACATCAGCAAATGTAGCAGTAGGTTGCAAATGCACAACCCAGCTAACGTTAGTTGCATTACTTGCTGTGTGGTTGTTCACTCTAACATTATATCACGACATCTATCCGACAAGGCACTTTGAATCCAACATTTGCGAAAAGTTTTGTAGCCACAAAGATTAAAAAAAAAAAACAACTTTGTTGTGTTGTTTGTCTTGGCAATGTGTGCTCACGAATTTGGGTGGTGTAGCTTTGGAAGGAGCACTGAAGGGAGGGGTGTATTTGTTCTGCTTTTGAGTTCAAATCTTACCAATTGTTCTTCAGGATCGCATTCTGCGCTTTTAGTTGCAGAAGACGTGTTTCGGTAGTGACAATTCTTAATGTTACACACTGATTTTCAGACTCTGGGACACATTTACTTCAAAATAATGTGATCTAACTGCTCACTATGTGGCCATGGGGAACAGGGATGTAGTCTCACTTCCTGCTCTCAAATGCAGGGGAGTGTCTAAAATAAAGTTCCACCTATGGACGTAAACTCTGTATTTTGGTAGTGACATGAAAACACGGAAAAGCATTTTTTGAATAAAGTTTATTTTTACTTAAAATTAAACTTATGATAAATTTAACTCTTTCAACTTCACTTTAAAAGAAAATACTCATTTTATTCTAATCAAAAGTCAGTTATTAATAACAAACAGCTAATTTAAAATGACCAGAATCTCCCATTTCATCATGCACCCACTGGAGAGGAAAACAAGCTGAGACTAAATGAATGAGAAGAGCCCCAGAACACGAACAAATATAAAAAGCACCCAAAAGCAGAAGAAATTGCAATCCTGTACATTAGGCCATTTATGTGGGTTGTGGCAAAATAGCTGGGTTACAAATAAGTAATGCATTTAAATATATGTGTGTGTGTGTGTGTACTATTTTTAAGTACACTTAAATGAAATAAAAAGATTAAATAAAGATTGATCTTTGATGTTTTTATACTAATCATGGACATATTTAACCTCTACAGCTTGTTGCTAACAGCCAATGAGCTGCAGAATGCACTGCACAGCTGTAGGCTAATTACCTTTAACACGCTTCTCCACAAGTTGTAACAAGACTGACAGATATTTATAGGAGCACAATCGAGATGTTATCTTCATCATGAAAAAAAAGAGGAATGTCAGTAACAATTCAGCTGAATTAATATGCACAGTTGGATATGGATTTGTGGCCTCCCTGTGCTTCAAATTACAATGTGAAATGTATAATCATGCAGTTGAGCAGCCTATTAAAAGAGAGGAAAAACTGTTGGCTATCCTTCCAGTTTTCTTTACTCAATCCAATTAATAAATTTCATCTTGGGAGTTTACAATGTACTTTGACTCCAACTAAAAAGAAAAAGAAAGAAACTGAGGAGAACAACCACAAGGTGAGCATGAAAAATGAAAGAGGGGCAGCGAAACATGCTGTGCATTATTCCTTTTTTTCTGATTAGGTCATAAAGCCTTATTAGGCATTTTATGTAAAGAGAGCCTTGAAGTGATAAAGGATGCTTAATCAGAGGGAGGAACATGAGGGAGAATATGTGAGTACACAGCAGTGATGAAATGAAGAGGGCTCGCCGGCAGCTGTGTAGAGTGAGAGCATCTGGACAGCAGTGAGTGCAGGTGAGTCATTCACTAATACACACACACACACAGACTGTCATACATATGCACACGCTAATACATTACGTTCAGTCCTGGCAGGGTTCTATTTTTAGAGAGAGAGCAGAAGAAGGTGTGCGTGTGGGGAAATGAAGTGTGGGTCTACACTGACCCACTTCTGAGTCTTTAGAGCTCAGTGAGAATTCCCACAGAACTTTAGGAAGCTGTCACACCTTCTTTTATGTGCTTGGAAAATGAGAGCTTTGTGATATTCCTCTTTTGTTCGTAATCCCAGCGCTTATTATGTGAAACAGTTGTGCCGCTCCAATATTGATTTTTAAATCACGTGAGCTGCAGGTACAGCTGCACCTTCAACCTTCCCTTATTTTACTGGAAGATCTAAACACATCTCTCAGAATGATTCATTGCGTTGCTTTCAACATCCCAATTTTTACTTTAAAGTTTACAACACAGATCTCAGCTCATCAATCTCATCTATACTTGGGCTGCACAATATATGGGCAGCATATATATCATTTGTTGATAAATGGGAAAATGTTAATCTTATTATCAGTCCAATACTAGAATTGGGGCCGACAGTTCCAACCAACAATTTAGCAGCCCGCTTTCAGCTTGCACTAGTGGAGGGTATTTCCATTTTTCGAATTCAAGCATTTGCAAGTCCACAAATATTTGAATGTTCAGTTATTGACATCTGTATGCCACATTTAGGGGACTTATATGACCCTTTTAGGGACTTTTAGTGGCTCAAAAGTAACTGGACAAACTAAAACAATCATAAATTAAATTGTCATTTTTAACACATTGTTGCAAATCATTTGCAGTCAATGACTACCTGAAGTTATTGAACCCATAGAGATCACCAGACACAGGGTTTCTTCCCTGGTGATGTTCTGCCAGGCCTTTATTGCAGCTACAGTGCACTAAGAAAGAGTTCCTGCTCATTTCACCTTATTTCACCTTCAGTTTTGCCTTCAGTAAGTGAATTACATGCTCAGATTTGTTGCGGTCAGGTGACTGACTTGGCCATTGCTAAACATTCCATTTTCTTGCCTTAAAAAAGGCTTGGGTTGCTTTCACAGCATGCCTGTCCATCCATACTGTAAGGAACTGTCCAATGAGTTTTTAAGCATCTGGCTGAATGTGAGCAGATAATAGAGCCCAACACACCTCAGAATTCATCCTGCTAATAGTCAGCAGTCACATCATCAACAAATACAAAGGAACCAATTCCACTGGCGGCCATACATGCCCACACCATAAAACTACCTCCACCATGTTTGACAGTTGAGGTGGTATGCTTGGGGTCATGAACATTTCTTTCCCTTCTTTCCATATTCCTCTCTTCCCATCACTCTGATAATGCTGATCTTTGTCTCATTTGTTCATAAGATGTTGTTCCAGAACTGTACAGGCTTGTGTAGATATGTTTGGCAAACTCTAATGTGGTCTTCCGGTTTTTGAAGCATACCAGTGGTTTACATTTTGTGGTAAACCCTCAATATTCACTCCGATGAAGTCTCCTCTTGGTTGTTGACTTTGACATATGCCTACCTCCTAGAGGGTGTTCGCAATCTTGCCAACTGCTGTGACAGGTTTTTCTTCACCAGGGAAAGAATTCTTCTCTTATTCAGTATTGTTTATCTTACCCACTACAGTTGTTTTCTGTGATCTTCCGGGTCTTTTGGTTTTTCTGAATTTGTTTTGATTTTTCAACCAAATTATGGCTTCACTGGCAATGACAGCTCTTGGGACGCTATATTGAGGGCAACAGATTGCGTTGTGAATGCCACACTTGAAATCAAGTCTAGACCTTTTATCTGTTTATCTGTTTAAAGGAATAACACACACCTGTCCATGTAACAACTGAGCAGCATATTGTCCAATTAACTTTGGCACCATAAAAATGGTGGAGGTCCTAAGAGAAAGTGAGCATTTAAATGATGTCCAGTCAAAATGGCTGTTAAGTACAAGTTATTCATTCTGAGGGTCAGGAAAAAAGCAGAAAACATATGTTTAACAGAAAATTACACAGAAGCCTCAATAACAAAACACTATTATTTCTTCAGTATTTAGCGTGTCCACGCTTTGCCTTTATTACAGCTTCCATTTTTTTCTGGAGACTTGCTTTCAGTTTTTCAAAGAAATCTGCAGGGATATTTTTCCACACTTCCAAAGTTCAGTGTTAGGAATTCGTTATATTTTCTGCTTTTCACAATTCAAGTAATCCCAATACATTCAGTGATGTTGAGGTCTAGACTTAGGGGCAGTCAGTCCATTGTTCTAAGAACACCAGCAGTTTCTTTCTTTGATTTGAAAATTTTCTTCGTTTTTGTCTGTTACCTTTTCTCAGTAATGCCTTCATGACAGCTATACATCCTTTCAGACCCAAAGCATTGAGTTATTATCTCACAGTGGAGCTTCATTATCTACTGTCTCTTAAGTATGAAAGCTTTAAGTCTTGGAAACTCCTGTTTTTTTCACTTATTTTACTTTGACTTTCTCCTTTCTTATGCAAGTGGATTCAGAAAAATTAATAACTTGTACTTAATGGCCAATCTGAGCAGAAATAAAATTGAGGGTGGTCTCTGACTTTTGCACAGTGTTGTAGGTCCCCTCTTTTTTCTACCTCATGGATTTGTTTCTTCTCTTCCATTTTTGTTGAAGTGGAACATCAATATAATGTGAAACATCCTTCAAAAATATGCATGTAGTCACTGGACTTCATATACAGATCATAGTATGAACTTATTTTAAAATAAAAGTCATTAATTATTGGCTGTTGGTATGAGTGTTGGCCATAACAAGACGTTAATTATCATTTATCATTGTCGACCCAGAAATTCTATATTAGTGCATCCTTAATCTATATACTACAGTGTGCTAAGGGTCAACAGTAAACTACTATTTGAAACAAAATGCTAAATGCAAAACATTTTAACTGACTCATGATGAATCACTGGTCTGATACAGAGAAATTAAATCTATTCTGCATGGAACGTGGAATTCAGTCATGCAAATGCACAGTGCTGCATCTAACCAAACTTTAATAAGACACATCCTCCTATGAAAGTAGAACGAAATACCTTAAAAATTAATTCAGTGTACTTCCAGATATGTGTGTCACTTTTAACTGGACTAAAATAGATCCCAGCCAGGGAGTGTATATGGAGGAAAAGCAGGACAAACACCGCCAGAGCCAACCAGGACAGAGGCTTCAGGCCCTAACAGGAGCTAGTATTAATAAATCTCTGACCTCATAACTTAATTCGAGTGGATGATGCTTCTCTATGAAATGATTCAGTGCATCAAGAAATCTCAAATTTCACCACAATTCAATTCAGTTCTTGCAGCGTGTTTCTGAATTCTTTTTAAAAAAAGAGACCAAATCATGGATGGTACTGGAGGAACTACTTGCGTAGGGATGCAACAAATGTACAAAGATATTTTATACATGTGATTATTTAAAAATATTCAGAAAAATGCAAAAGCCATTCCAATACCTGACACATTAACTACTTTTATGAACCCACGCATTTACATAAGCAAAGTTTTTTTATTTGTCACCAGTAGAACACAGTTGCCAGCTCTGCACACTGGACTCATTTGAGATTGTGATTTGGCACAGCTTGCGAGACTCTTGCCATTCAAGGCAACAGAATCGGTTTTATTATAAAGAAGCATTTTTTGCTGAGAATTAAAGAAAGCGTGCTGGCTAGCTAGTTGTCCGGAGCTGTAGAGAAAACACTCAGAGCAATAAAGCCAGCGTAACTGAGTTTAGATTAAAACGCTTGATCACTCCCCTGTTCACTGATGAGAGTTGACCAAAAAGTTGTTTAAGATGATAAAAAGACGCTGTTCCTCTGCTCTTCTGTAACACTCACTGCTGTTCAAACAGAGTCAGCGACTTGTTCAGGGTTGCCAGATTGAGTAGGATATCTACTTTAGATTTTCATGCAACTTGCTTTGAAAATTAAACAAATAGATCTATATGCAATATGGAATAAGTTTTATTCCATTCAGGTGAAATTCAGTGAAACATATCTTTAGTGTTCCTTATTTGTATATAATATTCAGATATTTGAGATTATATATATATATATATATATATATATATATATAGCCTGAGAATTGCAAATGCATTTTTACAGCCCTAATAATTAGGATGCCATATTTGAGATGACTTCCTTAGGAGCTGCCCTTTCCCTCAGTGCTTCACTCCAGCCTCTGCTGACCTGAACTCTGACCCTGTGACAGCACACTCTGTCATAGCCTCATGTAAAAGTGACAATCACTGTGCCTTATTTAGAGTAGAGACGCCTGGACAGTTAAAGGAGTTAAGGTCAATGTTCACCTGACCAACCTAAAAAAAAAAAACACTATTCAGAGTCACATGAAGTCATCAACTCTATAAATACTTCAACTTATACAGACTGTTTTAATGATGAAGTCATAGTTTTAGGCTATGGGCAAGATGTTCCATCTGATTTGTTTGCTTGGCTTGCTGTTGGTATGTGATCACTTCCTGCCAATCCTGAATTTACTCCAAATTAAAACTGTTTTCTTAAACTGAACTGAACTTGAAGATAATTCACCAGGATTAACATTTAAATGTTATACAGTTATTATGTTAAAATTACATGAAAAACATTCTACAGTAACATTGTGAGAGAAACATGAAAAAAACAAAAAAACAGAATTAGTGAACAGTTCTGGTTCTAAAATCTGATTGGCTCACCCAGACTTAAAGTTGCTGTAAAATACTTGATACTAGAAGTTTTAAATCACTGTTTTCAAACAGATAATACCAATTCGCTGAAGATACATGTACAAAATGATTTTATTATGTTGCTAATTGCTCCTCCACAACTTCAGAGGTTGTACCTTCTCCCTGGTGGACAATCCAGAATGGAAATTAACTCAGATATTAATCACATTCACTAGAACACTGTTGGCTCTCTGTGTGTGAAACGTTGCGACTGTGTTGAACTGCTAGTGAGCAATGAGGGGTGAAATGGGAGGGGTGAGAACCCCCTGCTGTGAAAACGATTCACAACTCTCCATAAAAATGGCCAAGCTGAAATAAATCTAATAACACAGCTGCAGCTTGCTTCAAAAAAAATCATAAACAACTGCCTCAAAAAAAGATTTAAACGCAATAACAACACTAGAAAAATCAAAATTGACATGCCTCACCTACAAATCCAGTTCACTTCTGGTTCTGTAAATCATACACCCTTCCATCAAAATACATTCCATGAATGTTACTTACAGGAAAAATGTATAGTTTAACTGTGGAATCTGCTCCAAAACAGGTGCAAAAATTAAATTTGTTCCATTTGATGACTGATGATTTGGTGAGACTCAACTTTTGGTTTAATTTAACCTGGATGTCATTCAAACAAGACAATACTTAATTCACTAAATAGAAAAACATGTTTATAATGAAATGTCATGTATTAATACAGGATATTAAAAATTTTACATTGGAAAAGTGGCTCGGTTTTAGTTTTCCTCAGAATTGTTCTTCCTATTGTCCTTCAATACAACAAAATGATTTTTTACATTTAATTGAGTCAAAAATATGATCTGTTTGTCATTTTTTTGGCATGTGGGTCAGAAGTGGTCATGTTTTTTGCTTTATTCTAGATTTTTAACTTTGTGCCAACCAACCACAATAGCCTGTGCCAACCAGCCCCGACAAGTGTACTACATGAATTTTGGCATGAGTGTACTAATTCCAGGACATATTTTCTGACATTGATAGTGTCTGTTTTGTCTAATACTTTCTAACATTGAAAGTTTCTGTTTTTTCTAAGATGTTCAGCTTTCATTTGCTGCTGGCTGGGAACAGATTCTAGTCCTGAAGTATGGTGTTCCTGGGATATACAGCAGACAGTGCAAACTGTGTCAGCCAACACCACTCTGACCTAACCTTTACTGACTTGATAAATAAAGACGACATTTCGTTTTATGTCTTTATGGTGACATGCTTTGAGGCGTAACATACAAGCTAAGAAACATCACGTGACTCCATCGTGAGAGATGAAGATTCCTCTATAGAACAGTGTATAGATACCCACCATATGATCAGAGGTTAATTAGCGTTGAAGCAAACACTGACTCTGATAAAATATGGTCTTTCCATTCTATTTATGTCAGTGGAACAGGTGAGAGGCTACAGATTTAGTGCATGAGGTGAGAAGAAGAGACGTTAGCATAGCTTACGTTTTCACCACGAAGCCTCCACCTCGTCATGTAGATGAATTCCATGGTGTGATCTTTCCCCATGATCTCTCCATTGCATAGAACGTCTAGCTGCATAGAGGGACACACTGTGAGGATCTACTGTGAGTCTGGCAGTAAGATAAATTCATTCTACAAAAATGATAGTCATTTGCAGACGTCTGGGCGCCCTAGTTAAATTACAGGATTTGTTGATTTTCAAAGTGAATAAAGGATAACTCTTCCCCTATAGAGGTCACACTTCTATACAATTTAATGCACAATTAAAATAAAACATAAAATGTGGCCTGTGCAAAAATTAATATTTTATGTTTTACTTTTTCCAAGTTGCTAGACTCAGCAAATAAACAGAAACTGTGAAATTTGCAGAAATATGCCATGTAAAAGTGTGTTCTCTGTACAAAACACGTAATATGACTGGTGGTGTTAAAACTTTTGCATATGACTGTATATAGTATTCATGCCATGACATATATGATTTGCTAGTTTATTAGGTACCCTGTAGCTACAGTTAGTGGCCATTTTATCAAAAACACCAAGTATAGATGTGCACTATGTGGGTTTACAGTTACTGGCTGCAGCCCATCTGCTGCTGGTACAAGTGGATCTGGCCCAGCAGCCCTGTGGAGGTTTTTATACACCTCAATGTCATTGCTGGGTTGAGAATAGTCTGCCAACAATGGGCTGTGTGCAGAAACCGACCTGTGAAAAAAGGGCTAGAGGATGGCTAACACAAACAGTGTGGAAAAAGATTAGCCTTACATGCTAAATGTGTGCCTACAAGGTGTAAGTAAGCGTACACAGTGCTTGACAACCAAAGCAACACTGCTGTGCCTGATACACAGGTATCAGCACAAAAATCATGCCACTACCATTTGTGTCACAGCCACAGACCACAACCCAAATAATGCCTGGTCAGTGGTGATCCACTTCCATTGACAGAAAGGGTAGAAGGGAGCCAATAAACTGTGCAGGAACAGATCAATCACAGTGAGTAGCTGTAAACCTACAAAGTGCCCCTATATGACAGATGTTTCTGATAAAATGAAGAGTGTAGGTACACTATACGTCCAAAAGTATCCCAACAATGGCTCAATCCAACAGCAATACCTGACCTTACTAATGCTGTTGTAGCTGAGTGCAATCAAGTCCTCACAGCAATGTTCCAACATCTAGTGTAAAGCCCTCCCAGAGTAGTAGAGACTGTCACTGCATTAAAGGGAGGACGAACTCTCCATTAATACCCTTGATTTCATAAGATACACTGGAACAAGCAGGTGTCTACAAACTTTTGGACATACAGTATAGTTAGGGTATACCTAATAAACCGGCAACTCTGTGAACAATGACATGTACTAACAACAGTTTGCATTTTTCATTCATACACACTCCAACACACACAGTACAAGTGTTACCTCATAAGAACTGGGAAGCTTTAACTTCAGACTTAAGAACTTCTTGATTGTTCCGACTGTGACGCGAGTTGAGCAGCGAATAAATTTCTTCATTAAGCCCTGAAGAGGATATAAAATACAGAACACATTGTCACAGCTGCTCCAAATTCTCTTTAAGCTCAACAGAAGCCTAAGCGTTATGAGTTATCTCTTATTGTTTTCAATCAGGAATGTTAATACAGTTGAACAAAACATTCTGCTATGGACAGATGCACTTAATCCATGAAAATCCCAGGCTTATTACATACTATTTATTTTTACAATAATAATAGCAATTATTCAGTAATTACAGGGACTTCAAAGCAAACTAGATGAGCTATTCTTAGGTTATAAAAGTGTGTAATAAAACTTTATGCCCTCCGATGGGCCCTGGCCATTTAAGGGGTTAAAGGGGCATTCCAGCTTAAAAATACCATTTAATATGTTATTTGTCATGTTATGTTATATTCTGTAATGGAGTATTAATCTGTTTCACAGAATTCATGATTTTTGTAACCTTATGCTTTTGTCCATAGACATTCTCTCACTACAATACACAGCAGCACTGAGCTCCAAACCCCCCTCCCTTCCAACAGCAATAAAGAAAATGCATCAGTGGAGAGGCTAATGAATACAGACGTGACATTAGGCTTCCTGGCAGTAAAGTTATACTGTGAAAAATTAGAAGTCTGCTCAACCTAAAATTACACAGTAACTGATTACATGGCTTAAGTTGACTCAACTTTGAGTTCACCCAGCTTCTTAGTTGAGTCAAAAAATCTCCCAGCTACTGTTTCTAGGTTTGCATCTAGTTAGATAAACAAATCAAACTTGTGTTTTTTACTAGCTGGCACTGCTTCTATAACACAGTCCCTGGATATGGACAGCTGTGGTATTGCTGGGACTCAAACTCACAATCTCCTGATGTTGGGATGAATTATTAGACAGTAGCATCACATGACACTATACTACTCTTCAAAGTTAAAACAACAACTATTTTCTCCAGTGTATTAAACATTTGTGAACACAAAATCTGGGTTGCTTCACATGTTCCTGAGTGGTGCAACAGACTAAGCTGTCACTCCAACAGGAGGTTGTGAGTTTAAGCCCCAGCAATGCCATAGCCATCCACAAGAGCGTAAGCAAGAGGAAAAAATGTTTACCAGGATTGTGTGATGGAAAGAGTCCTGGCTAGTGGGGAACTTTTGACTCAACTAAGAAGTTTGAGTTGGGTGAACTTATGTGTCCTCAAGTTGAGTCAACTCAAGAAAAGCCATGTGGTCAGTTACTATATCATTTCGAGTTGAGCTGTCCAATTAACAGCTGTAATGAAGATGCAGGGTTATAAACAATTTCCTGATTACAGGAGTAATCAAACATGGCTTCTGTCAGCCTGAATAATGTGCATTACACAACTGGCCTAATAAAAGGAAACCTCACTTTAATTAGTGAGACATGAAGGTGCTACATGAAATTTTACAAGCGTCATCTGATCATATATGACAGATCATGTAAGAAGTGCCATTAAAAGTAAGCAGGCTTTGAAGTGGGAGGTAAAAGCTCAACACTAGAAGCAGCACTTTATCAGCAGATCATGTCACGCTTTTGGTACTCAATTAGAGAAAATTAAGAAGGAGCAAGATCGAGGAGAGAGACAGAGAGAGAGAATGAACAGTAAATGAGGAGACAGAGAGTGGGGGCAGCACAGAGGTGAAGGGAACTGAGCAGTACATCAATAATGCTTTAATGTATTTGATCTACAAGGCTTTAATGAAGACTACAGATCAGCTTTGCTTCTGTTACTTTCCTAACTGAAGATTATGTCCTGCTGTGGATGGAACAGACTGCATGATAGGGCCATACAGTGTGAACAAAATGCTCTTATATTATATTATATCATTTTATTATAATGGTGCAAAATACCATATCATCAGTATATTATTGTGAAATAACATAGCATCTTACAATGGTGCAATATACCATATTACAATTATATTGTACTGTGTTTGTGCAAGTACCTTATCACCAGTCTATTATATTGCCATTGTGCAGAATACCATATCATCATTTTATTATGATGTGGTTGTACAAAATACCATCAAACCATTATGTTATATTGTGCAAATTGTGCAAAATACAACATGGCCATGGTATTATATTGCGATTGTAAAAAATGTCATATCATCATCATTATGTTATACAGCAGTTGTGCAAAATATCATATGACTATTATATTAATAACTGTAAATACCATATCATGATTATGTTTGATTGCTCAATTGCAATATAACATGACTGTGATCTGGTGTACAGTTATTATTAGATATTATGATTGTGATTGGCTGGAGTGCTCATTTGCATAGTGCAGCCTTGGATCAGTCGTATCCCAGCAACCTGTACTTTTTGACAGGATTCCAGCATCTCTAAAATCACTCAAACTGGGTTTGGCCTATTGGGGAGCTTGCTCTTCGTTACGGCACTTGAGCACTTTTTACAAGTATTGCAAATTTGATACTTTTATTTTTCACTTCACACTACATTTCTGAGTGAATGTGCCATTAATCATTACTCTAAAATATTTTCTAAAATATCCCCTGAAAAACTATGATGCACTTGATGTACTGAACTGTCTTCTGCGATATCACTGCTCCAAAGAACTTAATTTATTTCTATTAATATTTACATTTTATTAAATCAAATAGAGTAGAGTCAGCATATAAACCCTTTGTTACCTCAATATAAAAGGCAATTGCAATTGATCTTCAGCTTTTAAGTACAATGATATCAGAATCTGCATTACTGGGCTAAAATGACTGCATTTTATTCTTTTTACTGCATTTGTAATTGAAATAAATATTACACTTCTCTGTAATGCTAATCCAGGTCCCAACTTCTACATTTTATAAATGTTTACAGTCAGGTCAATAAATATTTGGACATCAGCAAAGTTATTATTATTTTAGCTGTCTACCACAGCAAATTGGAGTTGAAATTAAATAATGAATATGAGCCCAAAGTGCTGACTTTCAACTTTAATTTGAAGACATTTACATCCTAACTGTGTGAACAGTATAGGATTAGCTACCATTTTCATACACAGCTGCCCAAATTTTTAGAGGCTTCAAAGTAATTAAAAGCAAACTAGCATAATCAGAAGTTAAAGTGCCATTTTTAATGCTTGGCTGAAAATCCTTTAGTGTCAATGACTGCCTGAAGTCTGGAACCCACAGACATCTCTGAGGGCTTTACTGCAGCTGTATTCAGCTCCTGCTTCTTCTCCAGTCATTTTACCTTCAGTTAGCGAAATGCATGCTTGATTGGAATGAGGTCAGGTGATTGGCTTGGCCATTGCAAAATATTCCATTTATTTGCCTTAAAAAAGTCTTGGGTTGCTTTCACATGATGCTTCGGGTCATTGTCCATCTGCTCTATGAAGTGCCGTTCAATAAGATTTTAAACATTTGGCTGAATATGAGCAGATAATATAGCCCTATACACTTCAGAACTCATCCTGCTGCTTTTGCCAGCAGCCACATCATCAATAAATACCAGTTCCATTGGCAGCCATACATGCCCTCACCATAAAACTAAATCCACCATGCTTGACAGATGAGGTGGAATGCTTTGGGTCGTGAGCAGTTCCTTCCCTTCCTCTTCTAGTCCCATCATTCTGATAAAAGTTGATCTTTGTCTCATTTGTTCATAAGATGTTGTTCCAGAACTGTACAGGCTTTTTTGTAGATGTTTTTGGCAAACTCTAATGTGGTCTTCTTGTTTTTGAGGCTTACCAATGGTTTACACGTTGTGGAAAACCCTCTGTGTTTACTCTGGTGAAGTCTTCTCTCAATTTTTGACTTGACACAGATATGCCTACCTCCCACAGGGTGTTGTTTATCTGGCCAACCGTTGTAAAGGGGGTTCTCTACACCAGGCAAAGTATTATTAATAATAAGAATAAGAACCCTTAGTATGTTATAAGCTTGGGATTTTAAGGGGTTCATTTTAATTTCAATATGTGGCGGTAGCCAAAATAAGCCAAAATAAGTCATTTTTTCAATGTCCAGATATTTATGGATCTGACTGTAGGTACAGGTACTGTAATGTTTAGGTATCGTCATTAGTATTTCCAGTACATAAAAAGTATAGCAGTACAAAAATGGATATCTGCATCAGCCCATAATTCCCATATAGGTGCATCCTTACTTGTAAGTAATTTTTTGAGAGAGAGAGAGACAGAGAGACAGAGAGAGTAAGAGAGACAGTGAGTGAGATGGAGATGCAATGGGGGCAAGAGAGATACACTCAAAAATGGCTAACCTTAACAATATTCTCTCCCATCTGACCATTGTTGCGCAGACAGTCCAGGTAGATGGCTATCTGAGGGTCACTCCTGTGGTAGTCTCCGTCCCCTCGGTCATCAATCTCCTCCTCCATCTTCGCCCTTTTACACTTGGGGCCATCATCTGAAACAACACACAATAATCACTGTTGATTTACATGAACATGTAGGAACACACAGCTGAAGAAGATCATGGAAACAGGCATCCTGAGAGAGAAACATGCTCATGTTTTATGTATGTAATTAAGAATGCATGGATGTAATAACTCAGACATGCAGTATGCATGAGGTACATTGTTTCTACCTTCACTAAGTGAATATAGCCAACACCAAGCAGCTCAGAACCGCAAACAAGACACACAATCATGCGGCTGAACTGAACAGATATGCCCCGAAAGAGCGGTCGTGCCATTCTTCCTTTCATATAACGATATGAAAGGGACGATATTCGGGAAGATGCACTTGGGGGAAATGAAGGAAAGTAATTACGCGATCATTAAGAATTGCTTACAGCTGCACACTCTTATGAGCTGTTGTGCAGATTCAACCCTTCAGGAAACTGTGTGTGTGTGGCTGGTATGTGATTGGGTAATTCAGGGAGCGAAAAGATGGCAGAAAAACTGTATAATGTTCAATAAAGCCAAACCACTTTTCTGTGTAGACAATATTTAAATGCCAAGCTCATGAGGCAGATCATTTCAAACACACAAGGCAGTTTTGGAGGCAGAACATGAAGCAACATTGATCAGATTTTTCTTTCTCCAAATGAAACAGTGCAAAAGCTTTATTTCATCACTACTGACCGACATCATTAGAACATGATTATGAGATCCATAAAAACTACAGCCTTGGTAAAACCAAAGATTATGGACAGCATATAGCATTAGTATAATACATATCCTTATATCTGCAAAACAATAATTTACCAGGAGAAGGAAAACTTTCTTGATTTTTAATGGAAATTAATGGAACAAGGTCTTATTCTAGGTAATTTTGGATGATTTCTATTGGTCCATTCATCATGAAATTTTGACACAATATAAAGACCACCTGATGAAAATCAGCTTTTCAAATACAAGGTTCTGTTCCAACAGTGATGATATGCTTGTTATCTTAATATATCACCACATCTACTACGACTCACATATTTTTGTCTCAGAGTGGTTGCAATGCATGCATGTCACACTTGGGCATTATTTTTATCAGTATGTGAAATTATAACTTTCTTATTGTGTTTTTACTACACAAAAGAAGCACAAACAGTAACCTTTATTGTTGGACGCTCTAAGATCATTTCTAAGCATAAATATATTCCTGGACTCTCTGTACTGTGACATATTTGTGAATAAAACACATTACCTCTGTCTCTGAGCTATCTAAGTGTTTCACTTGATAATAGGTGAAGTGTTTTAGAGGAGGGCAAAAATCAATTATGAAAAAAACAAGAATTTTGTCTTTAAAATGATATGATGAATTGAGTCTGTGTGTTTTCTAACAACTTTGGACATTAAACGTTAATACATACATAGTCATATGGGAACAGCAACTACTCTTTTAGGTGTTTATGAACAGGGACATGAACTAATAAGGTAAAAAAGGTCAAGTCTGATTGAGTTTAACTTCTTAGTCTCCCAAACTTGCTTGGGAAAAACAAGATATTGACATCATAAAGAATTAGCATATTATCACTGTCCTAAAAAAACGTATCTCCAAAGTGGCGACTTTACAGGAGAAGGGAAAAACATTCTTTATTTTTAAAGTAAGTTAATGTAAAGGAAGTTAATTCTAAACAATGAAGTCCCTTCATCATGAACGTTTCACACAATGTAAAGGGTAGCTGTTGTGCTTGAACGAAAAATTAAAATTGAAAAAAATGGTTTTATATATTTTTTTGGATAGCAACAATATGCTTAACAATACCTTACACATTGTATCACCACATCAAACAGGGGAATAGCTACATGTATCAGCATGAAAAATTAATTTCTTTGTGTTACTTTGTTTTCAATCATTATATAAAAGAAGCAGCCACAAGATCCCTAATTGTTGAATGCTCTATGATAGTTTTCTGGAGTTGACTCTAATTCTCAACTTCTGCTGTAGTTGAGTAATTTTCACCAAGACAGTGGCAGAGCCATTGATAAAGGAATGCAGCAGAAATTAAACCATCCACAGTTCGCCCACTTTCTGAGCAGCTGAAGATCACAGTGATATGGGAAAAATTAGTAATTACACCAAGTTGTGTCAGACGATTTCAAGTTTTAATGGTTATGAGCTGGAGACAGCTGTAATGCACAGCAAGCTGGTAACTATTATTCCTGCATTACTAACACATCCATCTAAATGTCCATCAAGCCAAGAGTCATTGGCCAAGAGTCCACCCTAAATCCCTTCATGTCGGAATTGAGGATTTGATGCTTTTAGAGTTACCAGCCCATCACCGTATGCCATTGCAACAACCACAATTACAGATTAGTTGCGGCAGTAAATTGTACCTTCTGACAAACGTCTAAAGCAGGGGTGCACAACTCTGGTCCTGGAGGGCCGGTGTCCAGCACAGTTTGGAGGTTTCCCTGCTCAAACACACCTACTTAACCTGGCAATTAACAGATAAGTGTGATCAGGTGTGTTTGAGCAGGTAAATCACCAAACTGTGCTGGACACCGGCCTTCCAGGACCAGAGTTGTGCAACCCTGGTCTAAAGGATTAGTTTATCCTTTGTTTTGTGAGGCTAACATCTCCCAAAACAGCTTAAACTGGGTGACGGCCATCATAGACTATGTTTGATCCCATAAAGCTTATTTTAAAATTCATCTCTTGAACGAGGGGCTGGACCTGTCTGCATTCCCATTGCTATTTGTCAGAGGTGGGAACAAGTTGCAAGTAACAAGTAAGTCTCAAGTCATCACACTAAAGTCCCAAGTCAAGTCCCAAGATAAACTAAAGTCAGTCAGCATTTTTCAGCTAATTTAAGGCCATAACACTAAATAATGGTAACAGTACTACAGCCTTTTAATGACAGCACGTTAGCAGTGTATGGCTGATTTTTTTTGGGAACACTGGGCGCATAGGATTAAAATAAAAACTAGCTCAACACTAAAACTAGCTCAGCCAACTAAAAACAACCGCTAGTTTGACTTGAATTTAGACAACCGTACTGAACAAAGTTTACAGAAAACACAGCAAAATGATGGTGAATGTACGTAGCTGAAGCTGATTATTTGAATTTTCTGTTCCATGTTAAATGGTGCAGCAGTTACGTTCCGTTAGTCATGACACTCAAGTCCGAGTCAGAGTCCGAGTCACCGGTGTTGAAGTCATAGTAGAGTCCCAAGTCCTTCTTGACTTTCTTGAGTCGAGTCTAAAGTCATCAAATTCATGACTCGACTCGGACTGGAGTCCAAGTCATATGACTCGAGTCCACACCTCTGCTATTTTAAAATAGGATGTAGCCTCCCAAATGTCAGTGTTTGTCTTTATTGTGAAGAGAATATTTTATAGCTTGAAGAACACATTGCCTTTGTTTTTTTCTTTTTCAGGGCATGTAAACCTTTTAAACAATACAAATATTCAGAGATAATCTTGCTAATGTGTTGCGTTCGGTATGCACAGTTTTTGTGTCATTTGCTGTTGCTGCATTCGGTGTGTAATGGCCTTATCAGTAAAACATGAACGTGGCTAAAGTGTGAAGTATATCCCTTTTCATATGTTTGTTTGCTCAGAATGCTAGTTTGTGAAAGTCGCTGCTGTCATGATCTTGTAAAAAATCCAAAAACAGCGTTGAGAAATCACATTATTAAAGCAGAAGAGTAGATTAAAAGGCAGAAACAGCTGCTTTTTTGCCTCAGTATTAAAAGGTTAATGGGTCACCAGAGAACATAAGCCATAGTTTAGTTATCTGGAACTGATTGAGTGTTTCTCCCACATACCTCGGTGCATTAAGATGAAGAGAGATCTAATCAGAGCTCCTTGGAGAGGGCTGTCAGACAGCAGCTGTCTGCTGTCACCTTTATATTCCAAATTTAACACCCCCTCTTGCACCTACACAGCTGTGTGTCTCAACAATAGGCTCTCAGTCAGCCTAATCCTTCTGTCTGTGTACATATGTGATAGTCATCAGGCATGTAGCTTATACGCCACATACGGCTCCATCTGGATGCTCTCAATGGCATCTTCTGATACTGTGTGAGGGGCTTTAGTTTTAAAGAACAACTGTACAGTGCTTTGCTTCTGAGCCAAAGAAACACTTATGGCTACTGGGTTATCTGGATTCCACTGAAATGGGAAATTTCAAGTGAAAAAGCATACTTACCATCGGCATTTTCTTTTGACCTGTTCCTTTTCCAAAATTCAATCTCCCTTTGTTGTTCCTCTGAACATTAAGTGAGTAAGTGTGTGAGAGAGAGAGGGAGAGAGAGAGAGAGAGTGAAAAAGAGTACATAACTGAGGAAACACCTCAGCACACTGCCTCATCAGTGACACGGAAAATTGCTGTCATTTACTTCCAAAACACAATTTGAGCAAGAAAAACTCAAGTACAACCAATACACTTACTTTCTCTAAGGCCAGGCACAAGCTTGAATATGATTTCTTCTAAAGTGTTGTCCAACCTTTGTAAACAAAGAGATAAAGAAAGGAGCAAAAAGAAGAGAGAAGTGACTCGAGCTGCATAGACATAAGCTTGTCACAATCATAACATTTTACCTGATGATTAACTGCCACACAAATCATTATGACTTAACAATTTAATTGTCTTGTGTTAAAACAGAAGTCTACAGATGGCCAAACTGTCTGATTAGCTTTCATTCTCCCTCACAGTCGATACTTAGGCCCAATCCCATTTCTTCTTTTTACCCCTACCCCTTGTTTTCGAGTGTCACCCTAACCGCTTTGAACTGAGTTACAAGGGGTAGTGGTTGAAATCTTGCCCTACGAAATGGGACAACCCTCAAAAAAAACAAAAAAACAAAAAAAAAACACTCGCTTCATTAACAGGCTGCTAGTAGTGCTCTGTAGGCCACCCAGCCCGTCTTCAGTGATAGCAGAAAAGGGAGAAGTTCAGCGACCTCACTTTAGTTACATTTAGGGCATCATATGCCTTCAAAGAGGGGGTTTAAGACAATTATTTATTATCGCCTACCACTAATTCTTTGGTGGTACGAAGCTAAAGTCAGCTATTCACCAGCTTCTTGTTCGAATTTTCCCGTTCCACCTTAAATGGTGCAGCAGTTACATTCTGGCGCTTCAGGCGTCAACACTGCTAGACTATCTAAGGCGGAACGGGAAGTTAGCTAGCTACCGAAACATTAGCATGCTATTAGCGATTTTTTATGCTTGTTATGAAGAAAACGACCATAATACATTAAAATGACATTAAATTAAGACAATACAGTGGTTATCGTAATTTTTTAACAGAGGAAATTCTCACATTTGTGGGTTTCTTTGGTCGCTCGCGCAGCCATCTTGCTGGTTTTTCTTTTTTTCTGACAACACTCCGTTTGGAGTGTGCCTCTGAAAAATCTCCATTTGGAGGGCCATGTAGCCCTAATACTTTGCCCTACCCCTCCATCTCGACAAAAATTGGGACACCCTAACCCTAGACAAGAATGCTCAAAACAGAGGACTAAGTGGTAGGGGCAAGGGGTGGGACTGGGCCTTAGTAGCTCCAACTGACGACAAACACAGCTCAAGCTCAAATAAACTAACATTACTCACCGCTGCCCTGGGAATCAACAGACCTTACATAGCTCTAGTTCGAATTCATTTTCCACCTGTTTGAAACAGCTGAAACAGCTTCACAATAACTACGATTAACTGTGTTTTTGGTAATTTTATGCTACTCTAAAGTATCTAATTAGGCAAACTAGACACCTTGTAATAGGGGGGGCTATAGGCAAACATTTATATTACAGTGCAGTTAAAATTTGACAGTTTCAGCATATATCATGGTATGTCCTTTTTAGTTCTTTAAATAAACCTATTTTTGTAGATTAACAGTGGTTTACTATTCTAGAATGTCCCTTCACTTTTTGATACTGTAATGTCCCGCTGCTGGTTTGCACTACCATGGGAGTGCAGGAGGTGTGGCCATGCAGAGCGGCTGCACTGAGGAGGCTTTTGGGAAGCGCTGCCTTCGTGGTTGGAGACACTTTCTTTGTAAATAAGTTGTTGTTAGCTTTATGATGTGCACGTGTTTGTGCGATTACAGAAGTGACCTGCCTGCTATTTTCAGGTGCTGCCTGTTTAATAAAAGAGCATTTGCCTTTAAAGCGCAATGTTCCAGCCTACTCTTCTCCGCTGACGACACAATATGAACTATTTTTAACGACGAAAGTAAACCTGAAATATTTTTATTGTGTAAAGTAGTAAAAACAAACATATCTATATTGGTTTCTGGTAAGAACTGTGCTAAATGTTGAATCATGTCTAAATCTCTGAAGCTGAAGTTGCCATTTTATTTGGCAGCTTTTTGTTTGAATTTTCTGTTCCACCTTAAATGGAGCAGCAAATACATTCTGGCACTTGTATAGGCACCTGAGATGGGAAATTCAAAAAAGAGGCCAACTTTAGCTTCAGTCATTTGTCTCATGCGTACATCCCATATACTCATGCTTATGACCATCAGGCGCTGCTGGAATTATGAAAATATTACAGTTATTACTGCTATCAGTACCAGCTGGTCTATGGCTTGTTGGGCAAACAAGGCTGGAAGACCGCAACACCATCTGACGCAGCTAGCCAGGTCAGGCGGCTCCTCAGCCAGACGTTATCCATGTTAGGCTAATGCTAACCCCAATTAATCGGCAATTAATTTATGTCCACTGCCTTGAAGCCTACTTCAGATGCAGCGGCAGGTGACAGAGGGTCTGCTGCGCTTTCATTTTAACTTGAAGTGTAACTAAAATAAGGGGTTGGTGCGCTTATTTGTGGCATACTGGTATAACCGTTCTGACGACACTCATATCTGAGGAAGAATTTTGATAATGCCCACTACTACTTTCTTGCTTGGTAATTTGCTTCCTTGCAAGTTATTGGCAGACATAAAGTGATATACTGCACTGTTCATACACTCACAGAATTTGTAGAATTTACCTCACCTTAATGAGCTTTCAAGAAAGTAATTTGTCTAAAAATAGCAATCAACCCATCAACAGCCCATTCTAAATTACATTCTGGTGCACATGTTAATGACTTGATGATTTATCTTTACCTGGAAGAGTAAAAAATTCGTTAACCCCTTAAATGGCCGGGGCCCACTGGCAATTTCTATAACTCAGCCAGGACAACACCTTTGAATACCATTAGGTCCTGTTGGTACCAAACTTAAGCAGGTGCCCAAAATTATAAAACTGGAACCTTATGGACCGACCACCAATAGAAAGCTTAGCTTTCAGTTCTTTGTCCAGTGAAAAAACACCCTAAACATGTTATAGCACCAAGACAGAAGTTCAACTTTTGTTGTTTTTGTAAGACCCATGATGTGTCTCAATAAATGTGTTTTTGCTTTTTTTATTTATACAAATTTGCCTCATCCCAACAAATGAAAACACACCCAATACACAGTCTTTTGTTGTCATGTAAAGTATGATTGTGAAGGTTAACAACTGTGGAATATTACTGTGATCATTCAAATATTTGGGATCAGTAACTGTGACAAGCCAACAAGTGTAGGTGAGCCACAAAAATGCTCTGGGTGCATGGTATATCCAAGGCTGATGTATTAAATATGGGACAAAAACAATATTGAAATTACAGCTGATATTTACAACTGATCTCTTTTTACATTTTTGTTCACACCAATACAGACATGTGTAGTCACTAGTGCCAGACATTTCCAACTCAGTAAAATCTCATCCACCTTTTACTAAAGTCTTACTCGCATTTACATTCTGCCTCACCGTCTCGCTTTGAGACATTTAACCCTTAAAATCCCAGGCTTATTACATACTAAGACCTATTATTCAGCAACTACATGGACTACAACACAAACTAGCCGAGTCATTCTTAGGTTATGGAAGTGTGTGATGAAACTTTGGACCTGCCGATGGGTCCTGGCCATTTGAGGGGTTAAAGGGGGCCCATATCATGAAAATCTGAATTCTCCTTACTATTTTTAAAATAAAAGAGTTTGAAGTAATATGTACACTTTGTTAAAGTTTCAAAATGTACCATTCACTCTCCAGTCTATACAGCCCCTATAAGCAAAGTAAACTGCAAAAACAGCCTGTTTTAAATCATTTTTTTCTGTTGTCACAAGAAGCAACTCATTAACATATATCCACCTATTTAGCCAACAGCAGTTTAGCCCCACCCATTCTAAGGAGTGTTGCAGCTCTGAGTGTTTTTCGAATATGGCACAATACCAGACAGCCAATCAGAACAAAGTCTATTTATTTTATATCAGTCCTAAATAGCCTGTTATTTTTTAAGGAATAAGGAGAAGTTGGAAAATGGTTGTTTAAAAATCAGTTATGACTATTTTATAAGTGGACCTCAGGGGGCAAAATAAAATACAAGAAAAATGCAGGATATGGGGCCTTTAATACAGTGAGACAGCTAGTCATCATCAATGGAGCAGTCAGCAGTGAAATGTTTTTCTACCCTGTGTGAAAGGCTTTAAGTGAAAATCTGCAATCAAGACATTTACCAGTCAGGTATAATCTGATAGCACATTCAATAATCAGCATAACTCGCTGTGATAGGCTACTCTGCGGAACAAATAGAAAGTGAATGCTGCTTAAAACTTCAATGTTATCATTGTTTATTTTGCAAACGCTGGATTTTTACAGAGGAAATCACAGTTTAAAGCACCAAATTAAATTTTGACATCAATACACAGGGTGATTCAAAAAGATTCATCAGATTTCAAAGTGCCATATTGTTACAACTGTGAGGCACCTAGGAACCAATCACATACCAATTGAAAGAAGGGGTCATAGAGTCATAGGGTCATATCTCACTTAACCATTTACAATTTACTGCATTGTTCTGTAATGATTTATAAGTAAAATAAAACATTTTGAAATCAGATGAATCTTTTTTAATCACCCTGTCTTACAGTATTTTTGTTACATGCTCCACTGAAGATTTTAACAACATTCAGCAGAGACTAGACATGGCACAGGGACCAAAACTAACAACATTTTACACAAAGCGTAATGGAAGACAGTTGTTCCAAAGTGAAAATATGTTTAAAATTTGGTAAATAATGCTTTCATTTTGTTAATAAAGTATTAAATCATCACAGAATTTTGAACTGTGACTACACTGATGAAAGATTTGCCCAGTACACTCTGCTCTCCACAGCACAGTGTCAAACCTCAGCAGTGCTGCTCTGTGAGCTATGTTACATAAGTTAGGCTATGCGGTGGTAAGATGAGTTAACTACAACCATTTGTCATGCAAGCTAATTACTTTTTAAAGCTGAGTGCATTTACATTTATGCTTGTGGCAGATATTCTTATCCAGAGCAACTTAAAATTGAATCATGTTATAGAGGCAAATGTAGCGATAGGAGTCTTGCCCAAGGACTGTTATTGGCATCACATTGTGTGCTTGCATGGGAAAGGAATGAAACCCAGTTTGCCTCATGAAAACAGCAATATCACGC